TAAGCACCGTCTCCCCTCCGATCTTCATAAACACTGATCCTTTTCCTCGTATAGATATTCTGTGGATCTGTTTTCAGCTCTCCAGGACGATGAACTTCCTGATGTACCTAGTCTATCGCCCACCACAATCCAGTATACTAGAGAATCAGCTCCTGATAGATCAGCTTTAGTCTGTCACGGAAAGTTGCCAATATTCTTACTCTCTTTTGGTTGGTGATTTCAGTTGCCCAGGCATTGACTGGCAAAAGACGTTCTCGACAGACGTTTCCTTCGGTCGCCCTCCTACTAACCTTCTAGTTGAGAAATCCTGGACGCAGCACGTATCTTTTCGAACCAAGTTCTGACAATTGCACACACCATCTTTACTAGACCTAGTCATCATCAATGAAAGACACCAGAATGTTGTCATTAACCAGTGTTGCCCTTTAGAAAAAGGTAATCATGTTTCGCTGACTTTTGACTACATATTAACTTAGTATCTGTTCAAAGATAACACTCGATACCTTCGTTCATGCAAAAGAACAAACTTCGAGACCCTGAATCGGTTTCTGCAATTAATAATCTATCCCTCAGAAATGTCGGCTGTCGGCCCCACCAGGCACATAGAACAGGTCATCTCTCTCGCAGACTCCCAAATCGTTTCCCGAATTCGAAGTGCGTCTAATGCTAAGCCCCTCTACTTCGCCCAATTCGCCGGCTGTTAGATATAAGGATCAAGCTTCTTGCGAGATACATGAATACTCACTTCGCGGCCGTCGGAGTTGCTTTTAAACAAGTTAGAAACCTCTGTCGACACAAAATTCGGGAGCATTTGAGGAAAACCCAGAGAGCTATCCTTACCAATGCTCGAAACAATAAACCTTTCTTCTTTATATGCACCCTTAGCTTGCCTAAGCCTTCTCTCTGCCCCATAGCTCTCACTAACTCAGTCGGATAAAATACCTCATCTCTAACAGAGGTTGCGGATAACTTCCGATCAAACTTCCAGAAAATATTCAACTCTCCTTCGGTGCTCAATCATCCCATTCTGCAGCCGATAGATACAACATCATCCCTAGGATACATCTTTTCCTGAAAATGATAAGGTAGAAAGGAGATTCCCCAACATTATTCCGTACTGCTTCAAGGGACCTCATGACAAACGCACTAGGTGACTGGTGGAGGCAGCTGATGTGCTAGCTGCCCGGTATGTAATAGACGATTCTTTCAGTAAAG